TCAAAATAGACACCTCCAAAATCTGACTAAGAGGTATCAGAGATCTCAAAGGTGGATGTGCCCATATCCTGAGGAAATAATTATGAGTGACAAAAAAAGGATTTTGATAACATTACTCTTAATCACAACAAATTGGAAACATTGCAAATGTTAAAGGGATTATTAAATATATATGGTACAAATGTATCTCCTAATATTATGTAGCATTTAATGATATTTTTAAAAAGTAATTAAATAGAATAATGGTTGTGATATAATGATTGAAAAGACACAATATTATAAATCAATATGTATAATAATATGGTATTCAGTAAAACTATGTACATAGAGCTATTTCAATGATAGTAACAATGGTAAACAATAGATAATGTTAATCTAGTATATTTAAATTTTCTTTCTCTTGCTTAAATCAAAATTCTAACTTCCCCATATTGGACATGAATTTATTTTATAATAAGGACATAAACTTTGTTTTCATAAAAAAACAGCATAGAGTCATCATCTGCAACTTAAAATACATACGGGCTCATACACAGCGTTTTTCTTGGCCTTGCCCTTCTCTATTGCTGGCATTTTATTTTTTAGCTATTCTCTCCATTAGGTTTGAGCTTCTCTGAAGGAAGGAAGCAATATATTTTTAAAGGACCATAAACCACCTGTTATAATATAGGTAGTAAATACATGTAAGACAGACAAAACCATGAAATAAAATAGAAATATATTTATTTATATCAAAAAAAAATTTTTTATATTTTTTTGAAAATCAGAGGTTAATTTAATTTTCAAATTCTAAGATCTTTAATGCCACATATATGGGTAAATGAGCATACTGAGTCAAAGAGGCATAGAACTGAAAACAATTCTTATTCATTTATAATTTCTTACTTTATTTCTCTTAGTGTTGAATCAAAATGTATCTATATTTTACATTGTTTTAAAATACAGCCTGTGAAAAGAAGTAGATTTGAGTATTTAATGCCAAAAAATAAAATATTAACACAATATAGAAAAGTAAAGAAATTAAAACTATGGTAGTAAGCTTTAAATTATTGTACAAACCAAAAAAACAAAGTTAAAACTGTTAAATATAAATTCATTTCTTCAATTACTTTAATTCACCACATCCAGGAAGGCTATACTCCCCTTCCCCTCTATTAGCATGTGCAGGTCAATTATCCAGATAAGGGGGAAAATTTTTGTTCTTATGCTTTTGCTGTTTCACAATTTCTCAACTTAATGTACCTGGAAAGGAGTGACTGTTTCCTGTTAATACAGTAAAAGGAATAAATAGGAGTTCTTTGATATGTAGAAGCTATGCTTCAGGCTGTATTTTCTTAAGTCTAGAAGTAGCAATAACAAAAAAAAAGAAGGAAGGAAGGAGAGGTACAAGCAGAGAAAAAGAAGAGACAGAGAGAGAGAGAGAAATAGTGAGCGTTAGGGCCAGTTGCCCAAGTCATGCTGAAGAAATGTGCTCCTTGAAGGGAAGGAAATGCATGGAGAACAAATTCTGTGAGCACCAGCTTCTCCAGGATATTTAGAATATTTGAATGCTTATATGTTATATGTCTGGGGAGTTTATTACTGAAAATGAGTCTGATGAAACAAGATAAAGCAAAAAGACTTAAAAGTCAGCTCTCACCATATTCAAACAGATTATTAAACTACACACCACCCCCCTCCCGGACACACACGTGTGATACTCGGCCATTCCAGGTGAAAGACCTGCCCTCTCGTTGCTTAATTACCCTCCTCTGCCTGCTTGATTGCTCTCACATTCAAAGCAATTTTGTTCATTTTATGAAAACTGAATTCTAATTTTTCTGTGTTGTTTAGTTAAAACGGTCTCCTATGTAAACTGCTCCTTATTAATCCCTAACATCACAATACTTTTAATAAACACTATCAAATATTATAATTTTTTCTGCATGTACTTTAGAGTCACCAGTTTTAATCGTAATTTCATTTTATTCACTTTTTAAAAACTATCACTGTTCAAGGTTATAAGAGTGTAATTTGTGTCCCCGTGAAAATGATCTTCAGTACCATGAAACTTTTATACAGTATGATCATCATAAAAGCCTCTTGGTACCCATTCTTGTCAAAGTATCTCTGGAATATTAATACAGCCTTGAATCCTGTTTTCCAGCATTTTAATGACCATATATTTTTCTTCAATGAATTCGTTCAAATTTAAAACAAAAGCCCAAAACAAAAAATATACAATTCAGGAAAATGTAGACTTCCATATGCTCAAACAGGCTTATCTTCTCTAAGGATTGCTTAATAAAAAATGAACATTTTAAGATTCTCCTAAAAAGAAAATTAACATTTAAATAATGTATTACTTTATGAAATATTATATTTGCATAATGTTAAATAATATACACAGGTATTTAGAGTGATTTGTCTTACAAAAATAAACTGGTTGTACAAGAATTCAATTTGAGCAGTGCTAATACTGAAAATCTCATTCAAACTTTATTTTTTTCTTGGTTTATTTGCCACTGTTTTATCATAATTTTTTTTTTTGCCAACTTTGCTGTTTTATTTACTAAATCAGCCTCATCTTACAGGTCCTTAAATGTGCATATTCCTTAAGATATGATAGTCATTTCTTTATTCTTTATTTTAAGACTGTTTTCTCTATATCTCAGAGATTTCGCTAATTCTTGACAGATACTTGCTCCGGTGCTAGCTTTTCCTGAGAGTTAGCTTCTAATTTCAGACTCTCAAATTCAACTTATCCACAGCCAATTTTATTCATTTGCATTAAGGTGACAAAGATGTCAGTTATGGGGTGGCCCAAATGCTGCCAATACGAGTCAATGCAGGCAGCTGTGAAAGGTAACGACAATCGTGAATATCCTATTGAGGAAGAAAAAACAGTCCAACTGTGATACTATCGGAAAGTTGTTAGGTATGATGATTATTCAGATATAAAGTGGCTAAATCCCTCTAATAAAGAAACCATTTGACTGCTGACAATGAATAAATAAAGTGAGGGAGAAAATCAGCAGAGTCTTAGAGAATTGTATTCAGAGGGTGTCATAGGCTCAGCTGTATTCCCCCAACATTCACGTCCTGGAGCCCTCGCCCCCAGTACTGCAGAACGCAAAGTATTTGGAACAAGGTTCTTCACGGAGGTGGTTAAGTTAAAACAAGGTTGTTAGACTAGGCCCTAATCAGATCTGACTGGTGTCCTTATAAGAAGATAAACTTTGGAAACACAAAGAGACACCAGGTAGGCACTTACATGTGAGGACCAGCGAGACGGCAGGCACCTGCAGTCGAGAGAAAGGCCTAAAAGGAAACCAGTCTCGCTAAAACGGTGATGTGCGCTACTGTCTTTCAGAACTGGAGACAGAAATGCTTGTTGTAGGAGCCTCCCAGCCTGTAATATTTCATTTTGGCATCCTGCGAGACTAACACAGGCGACAAAATCAAGGGCGATGAATAGGACACATTATTGAGACCTCTGAATGGGCCCTAGAAATTTGACTCGCAGAAAGGGGATTATTAGGGTTTTGAACAGAACATATTAAACCTAATTTTAATAATGTCCATTTGTTATATTAGGGGAGTTAATTATGTCCACCAAGGAGTAATAAAACATTATCCATTCAATGTATAAAGATAAAACATAGATAACACATGTGATCACTTTTCATCCTAAATGACCCTCCCTTGAATTTTATTGGATTCTCAGGTACATTGGCAATTGATTATTAGTTCCTCACATTCATGTGCTTGAATTTTTCACGTTATAGATCATCTTCTGCAGGTTCTTCTCCTCCCCTTCTGACTTTCTATGTCCCTTCTCTGCACCTCACTTTCTTCTACCTGTTTTACAGACATTGACCTCATTTTAACATCTGGTCCTTAGATCTGTGTCCTTCATCTCCATCTTCTCTTGGATCATTTCATGTATTATTGAGGTTTTAAGTTATATTACATGCTGCCTATTCCTCTTTCTTTTCCCATTTACATCTATATCCAGTCCTAATTTCTTTCCTGACCAGCAGGCTTAAACTCTTAATTATTGCTGGACAACTCTTCCCGAATGTGTTATTAGCCTTTGGGGCCCATGGCTATGTTCCCTATTCAAATAATAACTCTACTATCTGCAAAGTCTTCTCATTTCTATACCTTGGAGTCAGCCTATGCACAACCAATGAACCTCTAAATCCTGAAAAATTCACTCATCTAATATTTCTTAAATGTACTATTTTCCTCTCCATCTCAATTGCTACTGCACTAGCTCAGGCCTTTAAGATCTATTGTTCAGACTAATGCAACAACCTCTTTTAAAAAAAAATTATCTTTACTGTTGAAAGTGTTATAGATCTCCTTTTTCCCCCATTGGCCCTGGCACCTGCCCCCATCCCAGGCCTTCACCACTGGTCCCTCTCTCCCTGGCGTGGCCCCTTACATCCATCTTCTATACTGTTATAAGAATGATCTATTAAAAATATAAATCTGCCTAGTCCATGCTCCTGATGAAAAGCTTCCAGAGACTTAAATGTTGTTTCAGTCTTAATTCCTTACTTTGAATTTATGTTCCAGTGTTTTCAAATGGCTGGAAGTTCTCTTGATCCTACCTGGCTGTTCATTCCTCTGTGATTTTCTGCATGAGCCTTCCTCTGCCTTTCCTTCTCTGACTGACTACTTTCCCCTCAGCCCTTCTGGTTATCTTCTTCCAGATTTCTTCAGGGGTTCATTCTTGATGGATTAGATGATAAGTTTTTATTCCCTAGCATAGTTCCTACCAAATACAGCAGATTGATAAAAGCTACTCATTCTTAGATATGGGAATATTTTAGCTCCAGTTCCTTGTACCTGGCACATAGTAATTGGGACATGCCCTCAACTCATTCAGAATTAACTATCAGAAATTACTGACATATTCGTCCTATTATTGAGGTATATACTTGAGAAGTCTATGCCAGAGTTTTTTGTTTGTTTGTTTTGTCTTGTTTTAGTTTTTAATGTTTATCACTCACCATATTTATGGGATCAACTGGTCCAATGCTGTTGACATAAACATCAGTTTCAATTACTGTGGGCCTCACTGCAAAACATCAAACAAAAAATGGTCAAAGATATGACCATAAGTTGCATTAGATAGAACTTAGTTTTAAAATAATCTAAATGAGTAATAGTATTTACTATTTAAATAATAAAACATCCCTCATTAGGAAATGAAAAAACATAAAATGTTACAAAATCATAAACACCTTTTCAGTTTACAAATTGATTATGCAACTAAAAAATGGACACTTTTAACTGAAAACATTGCAGTGCATAACATAAAAATTATTTTAAACATACCTAAATCATTTATTAAAACTGAGAAATTTAATTCAGTAAAGATTGCTAGATGATTTTGTCTACAACGGTCATAGAATTTTATAATTTGAATGGATTTTAGAGCCTATTATTTTTCCTTACCCTGTTCCTCCCTTGTTAACAATATTCCCATAGGTTGTTCCTAGTTGGCCCCAGTTTAAGGTGGATTTTTACTTAATTCTCACAGAGTATATGTTATGGACATCACTATGAACTTCGTGTTTTGTACAAACAATTTGTGTTTTCCCAGTAAGTCTTTAAATGGTATACACAGCATTTTTATATTCCATCAAAATGAGTAGCACAAGTTGGTATTTTAAATGTTTGTCAAATAATATGATTCAAGGATATCCACAGTCATGCCATATTCAATTATGATTTGTGCTTTCAAACTTTGTCAGGTATTTTTGGTTCCTATAATGAGATTTACCATAATAATGATCATTATAATTTATACTCATAAGAATTTTTAATTGCTATGAAAAACATTTTCACAGTTTCTTTTATTACCCTTCCCCCACCAAATATGGTACAAATGGTTTATTTGATGGTTTAGCAAATGCTTCTTGAGGAATGTGTGTAAAGTTTCACAAAGTAGACAAGAAGGAAAAAATAATTCCAGGGGGAAAAAAATCTACTTAATATATATACACACATATATGAAATATCTCACAGAGTTTTAGAACGAGATAATGCAAATGAAATAAAGCAGTAAAAACAACTTGTAGTGTAAAAGTTTCTAAAGTAGCATGTTTTCAGTAATACTTAGTCAGCTCTCCTTTCTAAACTCTATCTGATTCCCTTCCTGGCCTGGTGTCTGTCGCTCTGACAGTTCAGACGCTGTGTCCCGCCTGGCAGGACCCACCTCCCCCCCTAACGCCCACCTGGGTATTTAAGTAGTAACAGGCCTGCTGGTTTGCGGCTCAGTTCAGCCTAAGTCCCTGCATTCGTACCTTCCAGGCTGGCAGAGCTCCCCGCTAGCAAGCTTCAGTGGAAAACCTGAAGCATTTCGAAAACCAGGGCCTGTTCAGTTTTATAACAGTACTTAGTCATACCCTCTGTAATTAAAAAAAATACCCCACTACATTTAGAAATACATAACATTTAAATAGTTTGTTTTTCTTCGAGCAAAGAGTTTATTATATGGTGTTCATATTTCTTAGCTAGAAAAAGGAATGATTTGTTATAAATAGTTTTAATACAAAAACTATAGATTTTTAGACCTATATATGACAATGTAATTTAATTTTCTATCCAACAATTAGATTTCTTAAATAAAAGTAAGTCACATGATTTATAGAAGGTTTTAAAATTTAACTTAGGCTAATGACTTCTGAGATGCATTGCTTTAACCACTTGCCATTTATTTTGACTAGCATGAATTCTAGCCAATAAATATAATATGATTAAGCTAATTATAGCTAGATTTACAGAATGGTTTTTATGAAAGCCAATTAATAACTAGGCAATAGGTTTATTAGTTTCACTCCTAAGTATATTTATTACCACTTATATGCAATTTAGTGCAACATACCAGTCTTACTTAATTAGATATTTTCAGTTCATTTGATAAATCAACAAACACTGACTGACTATTCTTTTTTTCACAATACTAAGGACCAAATACTTCTATGCCAAGAAGTCAATGATTCCTGAGGACATTTTTATATGTAGGACATACTTTTCACATTTACAGTGTAGAAAGTTGTAGATATGAGTGATCCATCCTGGTTTTCTGATATCAAAATTATCCCTCAATTATAAGACATATATACATGCTGTCCCCCAAAATGTATACACACTTTAATAGCTGATAGCTCAACTGATGTTTTTTTCTTTTCAGATTTAACCCATTGGAGCTAATAATTATTCAAAGTGTGTATGTGTGTGTGTGTAAATTGTTTCAGTTCATATTATACACCATATTAATAGTTCTAAGGAGGAAAAAACCCATAATTATTTTCAGAAATTCTGAAAAAGACTGTGACAAATTTCAATATAAGTTCCTGATTTAAAAATAAAATCAAGAAAATTGAGGGATAACTTTTAATGTGAATATACAAATGAAGAAACGCTAGAGTCATTTCCACTAAAATCTAGAACAAGACAAACTTACCCACTATCACCACTATTATTTATACATATTACTGAATGCCATTAGATAAAAGACATCAATGAGTTGCACATGAATTAGCAAAGAAAAATAAAATCTTTTTTTTTTGCATATGACATAATAGCATGTCCTGAAAACTCCAATATTCAGTGCTTAAATTAACAATAAAAAAAATCAGTAAGGTAGCAAAAAGGTAGCAGGATGTAAAATGAGCATTTAAATATCAATAACATTGATATACAAAAACAATAACCAGTTAAGAGGACATTATGGTTAAAAAGTACCATTTACAGCAGGAAGAAAAAAAAAAAGTAGGAGTTGATTTAAGAAATGTGAAAAAAGTATTTGAGTAAATCTTTAAAATATTCCCCATAGGCACAAAATAAACATGGAGAACTGGAAAGTCAGCCCATATTTCTATATTGGATAACTCAATGTTATTAAAATCTTAGTTCTCTTAATTTATAAATTTAACACAATCCCCAATAAAAATATCAAGTTTTTTTATTTATTGGAGTTAAACATTTTGATACTTAAAGATCATATATTTTTTTAAAATACAAGAATAGCCAGAAAAGCTGAAAATGAAAACAAAATATGAAAGTATGAGATGGGATTGGTTTCATAAGACATTAATACTAAATATTTTAGTTTCAATATACTGTTGAATCTCTATTATTAATCTAGTGTAGTGGCAAATAAATAGAAAAACAGATGAGAGAATGAAACAGAAAGATCACATATAACCAAATTACATGTGAAAATGTAATATATGATAAAGTTGATATTTCAAATAATAAAGGCAAAGATTGATGGTTTTAATACATAAATAAATAAATAATAAAAGTTTGCCAAAATAAAAGAAAAGATTTTTTAAAATAAATAATGTGGAGTCAACAGAAAATCCATTTAGAAAAGATCAAGTTTGATTCATACATCGTTCCATACAATAAAACCAAATGGATGGGGGGCGGAAAGGGGCAAGGGGGAAACGGGGAGCCATCTGTAATGCTTTCAACAATAAAGATATGTTTTAAAAAATGAAAACCATACAAGTACTAAAAGTAAACATGGATGAATTCCACTCTAAGTAGAATATAACCAGTAGCATTTGAACCAAACTGTGTTGAAAATGAGTAACAACCACACTGAAGAAAGTAGGGCTGAAAAGCACTACAACAGTCTAAGTAACTTCGGGGATCAGTACCTTGATTGCAGACTGTAAAGCTAAATAAAATATGATTGTTCGTACCTATTTTATTCTAGTTAGTTTGTTTTCATAGACGTGTTAAAATTCTAAAACTATGTATTTACTGGAATTGAACAAATAAGAAAACATACTACAGATAAATGAGAGTCAGGTGTCTTATTGTTGCAAAAAGGAGTTAAAAATACAGGGAAAGACTGAAGCTTGTGGTGTTTAGATTGGAATCAGAGCACTCAGTAACAATTCATAGTTTATAATACACGTACAAAGGGACAGATATAGAATTATAGCTGTCAGTGCATGTGTGTGTACAACATATATTTCTATTTGCCCACTGAGATCATGAAGCCATGCCACTCAACATTAACATACACCCCTACTGCCCAGATCGTTGTTTCTAAATAGCATTCTACAAGAAAGGAACCAGGGCTCCTTGGAGAAACGGTAAATTCCACTGTTCAATCAAGATGAGCGTGGAATGTCTCATGTGCTAGAAAGAAAGGATATACTAAGAATATGGTGGGGACATGTGAAAGAACATAGAATAGAATACCTATTTTATGTCTATATACTGCTAATAAAAAATTAGAAAATATTTTTTTAAATATATTTGCACATACATTAGAGCTCCAAATATACAGAATTAAATCTCGTAAAATGCATTTAACACTTCTTCACAGGAAACATTAATAAAAAACAAATGTAAACATTGAGCAATATACGATGGTCATGAATTTGATATGATAAAAATTCAATAAGGTAAGCCCTGACCGGGAATCAAACCGCGATCTCCTGGATCCTAGGTCGACATTCAATTGCTAAGCCTTGCAGGCCAAGCTATTTTTGTGTGTTTTAAAGATTCATGGGGGGGGGGGACTCAGAAGTTAATTATGTTATAAAACTTACACATAAATTCAAAGAACGGAGGAGGAAAACAATCTTAACAAAGAATAAAGCAGGATTACTTATACTAAATATAATATCAAGGCTTATAATTCTACATTAATTAAAACATTGTGACATTGTTACAAAGTTTGAATTCCTACTTTTCAAATATTCTCTTTAATGCAGTATTTTTCAGCTTCTCAGATAGTTTCATTAAACTTTGCTATTGTACTTTTCACTGTAGCAGTTGTAAAATAATTAGATCAGAAGTGCTTACATGCCTTTATTCTCACATCAGAGCGTACCTCCCAAACTACTGCCTTTCTGGTTAATAACTGTCAAACCCAGCAGTCTGACCTGCATCAGACACTCAAGGAATATGTGATCTATAATTAAAATGACATCAGTAAATATGGTTTTCATAATCCCCCGAGACTCAGAAAGAGAACTGCAACTTACCTCCTATATCTGGGCGAAGTTTATTGTCATAGCCTTGGAGCAATGAGTTGAGAATTTGTGTTATGTCTCCTTCATGAATCTTTGGTGCCAAGACCCAAGTTTTGTTCACTGTTAAGTCCTCATCATCTTCATCATCTGCTTTATCAACACTAAATAATTCCAAAAATAAAGAGGGTGATACAAAATGTCCACCAAGTTGTGTATTTCAAAAAATAGTTCAAGATTATTAAACTTTTGTTAGGGGAAAATAGTAAGAGGGGGAAAAGGCACTAGAAATGTTTTATATTCAGTAAGACTAGTGTTTTCATCATATGAACTATACTAATATAAAAACACTCAAAGGTTAAGAATTTGTCACAAGAAATATAACATATAATATTAAAATAACAAAATAAATCTAGGCCATCCCCACAACTGTCATTAAGGCCATAGAGACTCTGCACTGAAAATGTGAATGGTGGGTACACTTGTGCAGTGTCCACACGATGTGGACAACCATATGTGGTGATCTAAACCACCCCCCCAAAAAGAAAAATTAAAACATCAATTAACACAGGACAAGCTGTAATAATTAGTATGGTAAAATACATTGTAAAATGTATGTCTATTAATAGTGTACTATAATCTTCTGTATAGTTTTGTAATATAAATACACAAAAATGACTTAATTGGACATTAATGCCTAGGTTTCCCTATACACCACCAGATAGTGCTCTGAAATAAATCTCTAATCATAAAAAATAATTAAACAGGGCCTTTTATAGAGAGAAGCCGAGCTTTGTAATCTGCCAAGAATCAATAGTGGCAGCCCTGAAAATCTGCAACTCGATTCTCCTGCCATGGGGACACAGCTGATTGACAGCCCAGTCGCCAGTTCTCCGGAGGAGCGCTGTGTTTGCAACAGAGCCACAGCAAGTCAATCAATGATTACAAACTATTTTTCACACATAGGGTAAACATTTATCAAGTTTTACACAGGATGACCTGGTTTACAGCTATTTTCCTGGAATAATTATTAATAGCACCCTCTTTTAATGGCAGTGACGTAATTTGAATGATAAATTATATAGTCACCCTGAATATAGTTCATATAAAGGTGAGTGTGAATGTCCTGGTTCTCACACCAAGGAAGACTCTTCCATTGATCTGTTAATAAAAGGCAGACGAAACTCCAAAGCCAGTCATCATCTGTGACAAGTTAAATTGTGTTTATTTATAAACATCAGTTTCTATAAGCATGGTAGTCAAGTGATAAGTTGCAGTAAAGAAATACACCTGTTTTCATGTTTCAGAGTAGAAGATACCGTAATGTCAAAGCCTTTAAGTACTAGCTTATATTTTTTTTAATTTATCTTTATTGTTCAAAGTATTACATGTATCCCCTTTTCCCCCCCTTCACCCCCCCTCCACCCTGCACCTGCTCACCCCCCAGGCCTTCACCACACTATTGTCTGTGTCCATGGATTATGTATATAAGTTCTCTGGTAAGCATAGCTTTTAGAGAGTAGGTATTAATACTGATTTTAGATCTAGAAGTCAAAGAAAATTAAAGTAAAATAAATTTAAGAAAAAAACACAAATTTTGTTATATTTTGCCTTTATATTTTAGTTGCTAAATTCTTTTGTACAAAAACTTCTTTCTAGGGTTCTAATTCTGAATCTTTTTTATTACTCATAAAAGTTGGTAAGGAAGTAAAATAACTGAAAAAGTGATACAGTACAGTTATCAATTTGAAATTTCAGAGTTTTAAAGTGGTAAAAGAATAGTCCACTCAATTCAGGGATTATTTTATTAACACAAAGGAATATGGGACCCATCATTTAACACAAAGAGAGAGAAATGCCTTGAAATTTAGGAGGGAAAAGGGAACCAAGCAAGAAAATTAAGAATCTGTTCTCTGCCACGTATTTCCATTCTGTTCAGTGCTTAACTCGACCAGGAAGTTGATGACATTGCATCTTAATTGACTATTTATTTATGACCCTCTCTAAACTCCTTGAAGCCTTTCAATGTTATATCATTAGCACCTAGTCCAGTCCTTGACAAATATCAGGTGTCCAATAAAAAAAATTCACTGAATAAATAAATAAATGGAAAGAGTATTAAAGCTCATCTCAGTGTTTACAGGTAAAATTACAGAAAATGAAAAAAATAAACAACTAAAAACTATCATTATCAGCCTTAATAAAAGAATTAAAGTATTGTAGCCTACCTAATATAAAATTAATTTTTAAAACACAGTAGCTTTTTGATATTATTACTGATTCATCATAAACAAAAAAATTGATTTCTTTCACAATGAAAACAATTAAAAGAAAATGTGACAGAGAAAGTCCTACATAAAGGAATTCAAGTGAATTGAAGAACATAAGAACAGAGAAAAATAAAGGTAAGGGACATGATTTTGCTATGAAACAATATTGTTAATATAGCATGCCCAAATTAGTTTATAAATTTAATGAAATTTTAATCAGAATACCATAGTTCACATGTATTAGGTTAAAATCATTATAGTTAAGTAGAAGAATGAAAATGAGGGTTCAGAAGAAATTATTGAAAGTTTTGTTAGATAAAATTTGCTCTGCAAGAATACAAATAAAACAAAATAAAGTTCCTGTAATCAATACCACATTGTAGTAACACATACGGAAATCAGTGAGAACTAAGTCTAGCACTCAAATTCAGATCCAGGTGAATAGAAATCTACTGTGTGATAAAAGCGACTGGCCAGTTTGGAAAAAATGAATTATTCAGTAAATTGTATTGAAATGCTCAGTAAGCCATTTAGAAGAACATACATTAGGTTCTATTTATACAAAAAATTACAGATTTTATTAAAAATCAAAATATAATAAATAAAGTATAAACTGTTAAGGAAAATATTGAAAAAAATGTTTTGACCTTTGGGGTAAGGAGGTCTTTCTAGGTAACATGTAACCAAACCAAGAACGGAAAAAAAATAATAGAAAATAACTTATGGATGACATAACACAATTTAGAAAAAGACTAGAGAGAGAGGATAGACAAAAAAAATAGAACATAATTGATATACAATATTCAGAGGGGAAAAAAGACCAATAAATTGATAAAATTATGCTAACATTTATTGTTATCAAGGGGATATAAGTTAAAAATGTGACAAATTTTAGCCGTCACATTGGCAGAACATTAAAAGATTCATTACATCCAGGACTGGTGATAATATGGATAAATATCATTTTTGTAACCATTAAGAGAAAACCGAATTGCTTTATGGTAAGTAATTTGGCAATATTAATGAAATATTGAAATTAAAGGGATGTACATATGTATGTATATACACAAAAACAATGTGAAAAAATATGCCTGGTCAGTGTGGCTCAGTGGCTGAGCATCCGCCCATGAACCAAGAGGTCACCAGCTCAACTCCAGTCAGGGCACAGGCCCGGGCTGTGGGATCCCTCGTGGGGGGCGTGCAGGAGGCAGCCAGCTGATGTTTTTCTCTAATCAATGTTTCTTTCTCTCTATCCCTCCCCCTTCTCTCTCTAAAATCAATAAAAACATATATTTTTTTAAATGTGTGATAAAATAAAATAGAATCTATTATGAAATAAGCTAATAAATTATGATTCTTCTATAATATAGAATACCACATTATTATTAAAGAAGTACAACTAAGTATACTAATCTAGAAAGCTACCTCTAATATCAGGTATGTGACAAAAACAAGGGTAAGATCTTATTTACATAAAAAATTCATACACAAATGTGTATACACATGCCTGTCTAAACATTTGGAATTATAGTGTTCAAATTACTAAGGAATTATGATGAGTGGAATAAAATAAAGGACCTTATTATTTATGTTACAGGATCAAAAAACACTATGGCATTGGGGAAAACAGTTTGAGGTTTTTTCATGTATTTTAACAAAAACATTATATATATGTGTGTGTATATATATATACACACATATATATATATGGAAATTAATATACAGGGATGGACAAAAGTAGGTTTGCCGTTGTATGTGTAACACAGGGTTTATTCTTGTTTTATTATTTATTAATTAGTATATTATTTATTTGTATTACAACTGTAAACCCACTTTTGCCCACCCCTGTAGGTCACTTAGAAAATATTTAAATTATCTGTTTAATAAAACAAAACAAAATAAAGTCTAAAATATTTGTGGTAAAAAAATTAGAATTTAAAATATTTTATGTCCACAGAAAAAACAGTAATTAGATTATACATTAATGATTCCACAGTTTGTGACGCAGAACATTGATTCAGGACAAAAAATAAAAAGTGGCATCTTCTTCCATTGTGAATTTCATGGAGTCTCCTTGGTATGTAGAATACATAGAACCCTTCAAATGACATTAAAATTAGAAAATTGCCTTTGGCACAGAGTGCTTCCTTGTCAGTTTCAAAAAAGGGGTCTATACAAATCCTAAGTCCATTGGAACTTAGTTTGATCTTAGTTATATTAGATAAAAGAATGTACAATTCTATTAGTTAATGAGAAAAGGGGAAGATTGATAATAAAATAGATATTTTAAAAAATAAATTATTTTAGTGTCATGTTTTTAGAAAAAGAATAGAAACAAAAAATTATATAATAAAGCAGAGGTATTTTTTGTAACACCTTTGGTCACAGATATGGAATTTCTGTAGTTTAGTGATTGATCTCAAATATCACAGCAAATACTAGTAATAAAACAATGTGTTTTGCCAATTTTAAGAGTATTGTTTTTGTTTTCTTTACTTTGTTAGGCAGGCCCACGCTGTTCTTTAAAAAAAGTTTAGAAATTAGAAACCACGAGTCCAAAGAATAATTTTCAGGGGGCTGGTGAATATCCAGAGATTATAAATGTTCATTTGGGACCATTTTCTTGTATTTTTTGGAGGAAGTTACAGAAACCATAATTTTCATTACAGCCTTTTAAAGAAAATGACAACTGGATTGAAAGTATATTAAAATGAACATCAAATTCACCACTGTTCCAATTTATAACCATAGAAATTGACAAAACATAAATTGGACTTAGAAACAATGCACCTCTTCATGACATTCACATTCTCTAAGCTTTTGATGTTCTTCTAAATCAGATAAATTCTACAAGGCTCCTAAAAATTTCACAAAGTGGAGGCATAATATTGAGA